AGGTGATAAGAGTGTAAGAGTGTTTTTTAGTGGACCTCATTTTATTTTCTATCACGAATACCATCTTTTTGCTCTTCCTGTGAGTGACCTCTCAGTCTATGACTTCTCTAATGTGTACGCCCCCTTCCTTCTTTAAAGAAAAGAAAGGCCTGTTATAATAGCAATGAATAATCTAATGGCATCCTGCTGGTGTTCCCTACTGCTCCTTGTCGCTCCTTCTTTCAAATATGTGTTGTCACACACATGTATAATGTCTGCAGCTCAGGCATGTTAACAGACATCCCCACCCAGCCTGCCCTTAATTAAGGTGCCAACCCCACGCCTCATTCCCAGCGGTGAAGAAGAGATTGCCCCTTACATCACTCAAACCCATTATTYTCTCTTTTCCCCACGACATATGTAACTTCTTGATGTTTTTTAGCTCAGGGTTTAGGCCAAGACAAGAYATATTTAGCATTTTAAGATTAATATTATATATCCTCTACGTTTACAAGGCTAGACACCCTGGGGATTCACATTTAATAGATGTTAATGGAATTTAATTTTATACATGCTAGGTATGAACATCTGTCTCCTAAATAAAATAGTATAAAATCTTATGTGGCACCAAGAAAACTCCAAAACAAATTATTTTTCACTCTGTAACCTGAAATTGAGTTACTGAGCAAAGCAGAAAAGCTGGTTTTTGATATTTGGAATTTAAAACCTGAATATAATTATCATTGATTAATTTCACTGAGTGTCAGTGCTAAGTTAACTTTGCACTTTGAAATCTGAAACCATGTCATATAGTGATTGTCATAGTTCTGAAACAGTACCTAAAATAAAACTCTCTCCACAACTGATTTTCCCAGTGACTTTCATTAAGCAAGGAATCTTCCATGCAAATAAGTCTCGCCTCAAATATATTAAATAGTAATCAATAWGATATATATTTTGAAATTTTTATCTAAAGAAAAACAATTCTTAGAAAGCATTATCACTCAAAAATATCTTGTAAAGTTAAACATACTTGACAACACATGCTAGGTAAATTAATTTGGAATTCAAGGCTGTACCTAGGATCATAAAAGCCACTTATTTTTAAAGTACTTTTTTGTCTGCATGTCAAATATAATTTAATTTCAAATTTTGGCTAATGTTATCATATATAGAATTTGTATATAGTAAAGATAGAAGGCAGAACCTTTGTACCTTTGTAATCTTCACAATTCGTGAACCAGCATACAAAAAAACTACCAGTTATTCTGTACATATTTTAAATGCTGAAATCTGTTCAGTTAYAATTAATGAAGAAAAACTCTTTTTTGCTTCAGTCCCCTGTACTGAAGTGCCTATTTAATAAACATTTGTTGAGTAAATAAATGATTATGACAGTAGCAGGTGCTCACAGCAAAAATGAGGTCATGCAGTGTACTGCAATGAGCCATACAAGGGACAGAGCTGAGTTCTTGTCCCAGTTCTGTCACCCATTAGCTGTGTGATCTTAGATAAGTTACTTGACCCTCCTGGACCACTTATTTCCTTCATATAAATTTGGATGTCAGAGATAATAGCAAATAATGTTTGARCTCTAAAAGGCTACAGTTCTAAATCTTTAAATTGTTCTTTGTTGTTCTTGGCAGTTTTATTGTGGACTTCATCCATATGTGTCTACAGAAAAGTAGAGTCATATTTAGACTATAGAAGTTCTGCTTTGTGCTTTCACATGTTAGCCTCTAGAAAAAAAAAATTATTGAGAGGTTTAATGTGCTAAGGCAGGTGGTGGAAAGGGAGAAGATTCCATGGTTCATACAGAAGACTTGAGCAAGTGGGGGGAAGAGAAGGGAACCCTGGAAAGGAATCCTCTATAGCTCAGACTAATGAAGTCTCCAGATAGCAAGTTTCTCAAGAGGTCAAAATGAGGAGGTTTTATTTATGACAGATTAACAGATTATTAGTTCATAAAAGGTGTCCCTTCCAGAAAGAGCACCGGGATGCTTTATTTCCTAATTAGATGGTTTTCTGCACATAAATAAAGGAGAATCACTGCTGCCTGTCAGGGAGACCCTCTGACAAGACAGGGTCTTTCTCGTCTCTGTCCTGATTTACAATATGACCTTGGGCAAGTCATTCATCTTCCTCTAAACCAGTTTCCCTAATTATAAAATGGAAATAAAAATACTCACTGCCTTGGCTGAAGATTAATGAGACAAGATGAATCTCCCTAGGCTCCTAGGGGGTAAAGCTTGCGTATAAGAAGGCAAAGACTTTTCACACAACAGGGGGAATAAAAACCAGGACAATAAAAACCTCTTCCTTTAAGTTTCCCGGTCTGAAAAAGAAAGAACCCAGCGTTTCCTGCTCATTACAACACACCTGTAATTGGTGATAACTCTTGGGCAAATTAATGTTTTGGTGCCTCGATTTCTTCTCTGTAGGATATTGGATAATAATCCTACTCATCATATATGTACAGATAATACATATAGATGCCTTGCATATACTGATTTCCCCACAAATGTTTGTTTATAACCTCTCTTAGACCAATTCAAACTAGGAAATATTTTACTTTTAAAACTTTATGAGAGAGCATTGGGATGCAAAGATTAACATTATGTAAATATTGGTACTTAAATTTTTTTGTAGTTGTAGATGGACAGAATCCCTTTGTTTATTTTTGTGTGGTGCTAAGGATTGAACCCAGTGCTTCATTCGTGCTAGGCAAGCACTCTGCCACTGAGCTAGAGCCCCAGCCCAATATTTGTACTTTTAAAAGGTGGCGGGAAACTGGTAGCCATAAAACCCAGTGTCTTCGGCTTGAATAAAATGAGTTTGGAGGACTTGGACAACGCCTTAAAAATTCGCCAGTGCGGACACGAGGGGGCACTGTGCGTCCGCTTTGGCGAGGGAGAGGCGGCCACCCGCGCGGGGCTGGGAGGATTGAGAGCACCCAGCATCCCAAGGCCCTGGCGCCTAGCGCTCCACCAGCGCCACAGATCCTAACCCCGACTCAAGAAAGGGCCGCCTGGGTGATCCAGGGCTGGGAGCGCTCTCAGCCCCACAACTATTCGCGTTCGTCTTTCCCTTCCCTCCCGAATATAAGGTTTTCTGGCAGCTGTTTTTAATATTAGATTCGCCGAGTTCCGGAGCTAGGGAATCCGGAACCAACTGCAAATGTAAGGGAACATTTTGGGCGCATCTACATCGGGCATTTTCCTCGGCATAAAGGAAAAAGCTGTCAGATTCCGTAAGGGGTCCGTGTCCAAAGATGTGCTTGAGTTCTTCCAATTTAGGGAAAGAGGGACGCCCGCCTCTCCCTGCCACACACACGCCCAAAGGCTAAACACGCAGCAGATTGGGAAACGACTCTAACATCACTACTTGTCCACTTCTCAGTGTCAGGGCGACAAGCTGGCACACCCCACGAATATGCCTTCAAAAAAAGGGTCCAAGGCAGGTCCCGAATGAAAGCTTTCAGGTCTGAAGTTGAACTGCACTTGTGCTAAAAGGAGACAGTGTGGCCTCGGTCCAAGATTCTAAACTACTCTTAGTCTCCCCCAAAGAGGCGTGATACCAGGAAAGTGATCCAGGCAGGATCTGTTCCACCTGACGCTTGGGTCCCCATCTCACAAGGTTGCTCAAGCAGGATGAGGAGACTCTAGGGATTTTGCTAGTCTCTAGAGAGAAAGTGTCGCCGGCGGAGGTGTCGCCTAGCGTCCCCTCTGTTACCAGAGGCATCTGGTTTATTGATTTCTTTGCGATCCTTGGGGGGACGAAGCGAGGGTCTGCTCTGATTCCCTGGCTCCAGGACCGAACACCTAGCTTGTCCGTTGAAAATCATGTCACCCAGGGAGCTCGGATAGAATACAGGGTGGGGAGACCTGAGAAAAAGCATAGGGCCGGAGAGGGTGAGGGTAGCCAGCCGAAAGCAGAGCAGAACAGGCGGTTGCACTGGCCAAGGAGAAACCACATCCATCCTAAACTTTCGGATATCTGGGAGCCTGGCAAGAATGAGCCAAGCGGGAGCAACAGCAGCCTTTCCACGCCGGCGTGCCCAGCTGTAGCAGGAGGTGCTGCACGCAGCGCGGGCTGGACACGGGCGGTCCCCACGTCGCGCCCACCCGCCTGCCAAAGCGCCGCCGCACCGTTCGGGACTCAGAGCGAGTGACCACAGAAACAGCCAGATTGCGGGCTCCAGCCTTCACGGGAGTTCGGAGGAAGGGGGATTCAACGCGGATCGGAAAGGGAGAGAAGATACTTGATTTTGAAACCTTGCCTAGCTCTGTGTGGGTGGCAGGGTCTTGCCCTTGGGCGGCCTTGGGCACGCAAGCTGAAGTCAGGTAGACTCCGGAAGAAGTGAGCGCAGAGACTTTCACGGGCTAAGGAAGTCGAATTTAAAAAGAAATGTGGAAAGCAATCCAGGGTGGCCACTGGAGCCCGGTAGCTTAAAAACCACCCGATCCCCACTAGGAGGACGACAGTGACTGGCACTCGCGAAGACTCGGCGCTCCCGGGCAGCCGCTGGTCTGCGCCGAGGAGCCGCCTCCCCAGCGTGGGGCGCGCGCKCAAACGCCAACCGCGGCGGGCAGAAGGCGAGATGCGGCGAGCGGCCGCCGGACTGTCCCGGCTGGGGAAACTCTGGGGCTGCGCGGCTCGGTGCTGACCCCGGGCAGGTTCGAGGGGTGTGCCCGGCCCCGCCCGCCTCCGCCCCCTCCTGCGCCCCTCCCAGTGGCGGCGGCGCATCCAGGGGCGGTGCGGAGCGCAGCGGCTCTGCTCAGCCGCCAGCTCCTGCGAGCTCCGCGGCTGCTCCGGGAATTCACTTTGCTGCTTTTAACGTGTCTCTCTCAGACCGCTTCGAATGGCTTTCGGTCTCTGGCCTGATCGTTTCCTTTAACAGGAAAACTTTACTGCGCTTTCTTTTTCCCCTTCGAGGAGAGGATTAAAAGTTCCACGAACTGGTGCCGCCCGTGCCGCTGGGGCGCTGGGAAGGTGTTCGCCGGAGGGTTCCCAGCCCCACCATGTGCACCAACATAGTTTACGAGTGGCTGAAAGCGCTGCAGCTCCCGCAGTACGCGGAATCCTTCGTGGATAACGGCTACGATGACCTGGAGGTGTGCAAGCAGATCGGAGATCCGGACCTGGACGCTATCGGGGTGCTGGCGCCCGCACACCGCAGACGCATCCTGGAGGCCGTGCGCCGGCTGCGGGAGCAGGACGCTGCCGCCGCGGGCCTCTACTTCACACTGGAGCCGCAGCCGGCGTCGCCGGGGCCTCCAGCGGACGACATGCCCCCCTGCCGCCGGGGGGAGCCGTGCGGCGGCCCARCCCAGGGTACCTGCGGAGACCCCCGCGGCCAGACGACCGCCCCCCGGAGTAGGGAGCTGGTGAGCTACCCCAAACTGAAGCTGAAGATCATGATCAGGGATAAACTCGTTCGAGATGGCATCCACCTGAGCAAGCCCCCTTACTCCCGAAAGGTAAGGAGGCGCCGCCCAGGCGGCCCGGGCGGGAGGAGGGTGGGGACAGGTCCAGACTGCTTGCGCCGGGCTGGGCAGCCCATTCCAGGTGACAGTGGGGAGGGCAGGACGGTTTGGGTGTCTGGAACTCTTCTCTTTTCTGTTATCTCTTTATTCCTTCCTTCCTTGTGTCACTAGTGGTTGATAAGACAAGATCCAGCACTCGGATATTAACTCCAAACTAGCTCGGATTCTCTGCGTAGTCATTGGGTCTCATCTGTTAGGGGTTGTGGACTTGGAGTTGCTTCTGGTAGTAGGGGGATTCCCAACGTCTCTGTGGTGCTTGGGTCTTCAGGATACCAGAAAACATGGTCAACACCGAACATTATATTCAACCTTCCTTTTCTTCTTTACTTTTCCGAGTTTTGATAAACTCCCCAAAGAAATAAATTGATGAACTCTCTTGAATAAAGAGTGRGAGGTTGGGCCCAGTTGTTCTCAGTTCTATAAAATAAATAACCCGGCCGCTGCTGCACATTTGAGGAGTGTACCATTAACCTGAACATCCTTGGGAGGGAGTTAATGAAACGCCAAACGTGCCCGTGCACTTGAGTGAGACGCCTTCTTTGAACTTRACTATCCCGTKTTTGGTAATGAGGTACTGAAGACATTGGGAAATATGGGGCCAGAGGGCGCCCTTTGGAGGTCTGCGTTGTCAACTCTTTGGCTGTTATTGATCCAGATGAGATGAAGTAGGTACAACTGTGACTTACTTCTAGAGAGTCTGAGGTGACACTGCAGTTTCAAGAGAGGATTCTGCAAGGGGGAGGGAAGGGGTGGGGAGCACCTTGGAAATGCTCACAGCTGCTCTTGGAGCAAGGCTGAAATGTGCAGTGGGCTTTGAATAATTAGGTAACAGAAAGTGCTGTTTCACCCTGGAGCTCTGCCTCTGTCTCTTGGGTTAGTCCAGTTGAGGTTTCTGCAGCTGTCCACAGAGGCCTGACTTGACAGGAAATAAACAGCATAGGTAACCTACCTCGCCTAGATTGCACAGGAAGATGAACACCTCAACTTGAAAAATCAAGACTTGGGAGAAGCCCAGGGAGAAAATGAAGGCAAGGATGCTCATCTGACAGGGACTGAAAACAGCACCCTGGTGGGGAAATGGGGATCATCTAGTGTTTTGTGGGCATCTGGGGCCCTTGAATTGCTTTATATTCTTAAGTGTTGGTTATAATGCCTGGGTTTAAGAAASTTCAAGTGAAAGCTATGTAATAAGCAGATGGAAATATAGGGTTTGATATTATCCATCTATTATCTTGCAGGTAAGGGAATAACCTGCTTGAGAATATAAGTTGGTTTTTATTATTAAGAAGACAGGTCAGGAGGACAGTGGGCCTCCTTTTAAACATAAGTTCCAGTTCCCTGCTCTGACAGTACTATCCATGTGTGCCAAGAGCAAGAATGGATGCAATTTGCCAAAGCAGTTAGCATTAGGTATAGAGGGATCCTGGTCAGTCATATAGGAAGTTACTCCTGGAAGAAAGGAGGGTCAAGCCAGCTCCATGTTTGTTATTAATTGCCACCAGAATGTAGGTGGGCTTAGACTGAGAGACAGTAAGTCCCTGGGCATGTGGTGAGGGCGCAGTTCAAGTCCTGGCCACAAAGGGCAGCAGAGGGAAGGTGTGTCACTAGGGCTTGCTTAGTCTTCAGGAAAGCTGTGAGGTGACACAGCTGGGGAGGTGGGAGGCTGAGGACCTGGGTGATAGGAGTTGGCACTGTAATGTGTGTTAGTTCTGATCCTTACTAACCCAAAGACAGGCCTAAATATCAAACTTGGAAACTGTAAAGGATTTTAAGAGTATGCAGTGTCTGACTGTAGGCTTTGAAACTGTGGACTCCTGCCTAGATCAGAGAGTGATAAAGCAGTGCGTTTTTATAAGTTAGATCTATGTAAGAAAATTTTCACTTGCATTGCTATGGTATTTACTTTCCACGTAAAGAATTATTTCATTCAACTTTCATATAAATACAATAATGTTTGCTAATAAAGATATGGCCTGTTCACTTTMTGTACATACTAATTCTCTTTCTTGAACTGATAGAAGGATAAAAATGGGAGCAGAAGGGTTTTCATWACCTCCTTCATAGGTGCTCCAGCTGGGGACCCCCCCCCAAAAAAAATCAAAGCTGACAAACTTTCTTGTAAGAAAGAATAACTCACTTTGCCAAAAATTAAAATATAATTAAAGGACATGAAACTGCATAGAGGTGTGTAGTGGCAGATCCTGTTCATTTGGAATTTGTTGCATGTGTATTCATTGCTTCCTAAGTTGTGGATTTAAATTATTTAGGTTTTTTTTTTCCCCTGATGCACCTCATTCACTCATAAGCAGTGCAGGGAATTTTTCTTTAAAATGTGATCTGCATTATTTTTTCCAGATTCCTTGGCTCTGTCATGATCAGCATGTGTAATATTTGTTGTGTGCATTTGGAATTCTGCTTGGAAGATTGGCTCCAGCCTCCTTTATGGTCATTTGCATTGTTGATCCTTGTGGTTTTATGCTTTGGTGAGAATATTAGATGGCTTAAAAGTGGATTATATCAAGGATGATCAGAGCATTTTTCCAAGAGTCACCTGGATGGATTGTAGGATTTGCTCCAGTAACTATTCAGGTTTCTTGGTTTAGTAATCAGTGATTTAATATGGAATTAAAAAGCAAGTTTCTCCTTGTTTCCCAAAGGGAGTCTGTAGCTTTGGAAAACCAGGAGCTTTGAAAGAGCACCAGCTTTGAAATTGGAGATGAATCCCTCATCTGCTCTGTAGCTAGCTTCTTTGACAGCTGTGATGGTTGCCTTTACAAATAGAGATTTTTATATGTATATATATTTTTTAAACCAAGCTTCTCTATTTCATGACCTCTCTAGGTTACTGTGGTTGATGGGATGCAGAAGGYCTGCCCTCAGAGATCTTGGGATTTAGCAGAGATAAAATAGATTGAGCAATAATGATGAATTGGAACAGTTGTACCCAGGTTAATTTTCAGGGACTGGTGATCAGCCAGKTCAGAGGAAAAGAGGAGGAAGTCCTGTTTAGAAGTCCTGTTTAGAAGCCACTGGAAGCTCTCAGTTTTCAAGGAGGAAGTGACTTGTCAGAACAGGTAAAGATTCTAGTATATCTTGGTGAAATAGCAACCATGCCAACAAAGGCCTTTACAATAGACAATGAGAGTGGAGACATGGGGCATGCCCCTCTCTTAAATAGAGTTTGAGAAGGGGGATCTAAAGCCACTGGAGGAAGAAGGGAGACTTTAGGTCAAGAGAAGTGTTCCGTGGGCTTGTGTTTGAGAATGAGAGAAACCGGAGCATGTCTAAGTGTTAGTGGCAGTGGTGAGAGAAAGGGAGACAATGAAGGTCTGGGAGGAATGGGAGAATTCGAGGTTAAAGGAGAAAATTACTGCTGTACAAATGTTAGTGGCTGTGATCAGATTTTTATAACCATGCCTAAATATAAACACTATGCAATAAAACACATAGAATTAAATACAGTTACACAGAGAAAGGCATCCTTGCCGTATATTTGTACCACAGGTTATAGGTTATGCATGGTGTTTCATTGAGTTCTATGAAGTGTAACAATGCTTGTGAAGGGGTCTGGGGTAGGTGTGAATGGTACAGGGCTTTAAAGATTCTTTCCACACTTGAAATGGTAGAGTGCAGGCCCCAAGGAGGTAGGAGGTGGAGCAGGCTTCTAGGCTTCTGGACTGAAAGTACCTCTTGCCACATCTACCAGCTGAAACTATTTGAGTTAGTATGACTTATTGAATAATGCTGGAGAAGTGTTAATCTTCATTTGTACCTTAGTGCTAAATGAACTAATTAACAAGACTCCATGGTAATAGGGCTCTCTATGGCTACTCTGGAGGGACAGCCTAGAATGGAGGAATTTAGAGATGCAGAGGTAGCACGAAGGCTTCTCTATATGGAGGAGAGAAGAAGGATTTAGAAAGAACGGGGAAATGCCRGCGACAGACACACTTCTGTCATTTGGAGACCTGCCTGGGGTCGTGGCAGAAGTTGAAATGATAATAAATATTGCTTCTCCCAAGAATTCCTTCTGCCTTCATGATATTACCAAGAAAGATTGGAGACTGGCAAACTTAAGATTTTCCCAGGTCAATCAAAATCCTCAAGTGTCCTCAGCCTAGATCCTAATGGGCTTGTTTGTCTTTGGTCCCTGATTGGAGACTGTAGGAAGAAGGGATGGGACACAGACAAGAGCTTGGGCAGTGATGGGGCTGCTGCTTTTCTCTTGCTCCTGTGGATTCTGTGTATGGAGTTTCTGTGTAAGTGGACCTGCAGACATCCTCCCGTCTGTTCATCTGTCTCTGTCCATCGACCCATTGTTCATTGATCCATACACCCATCCTCCCATATTACCAATACTGAGCATGTGCCATGTGCTAGGTTTTCGGATTGGGATTGCAGGGAGCTAGACAGATGTGTGTTTATATGTGAAGGGCCTAACCCAGGATTTGGCCTGAAGTAGTTACATTATATCAAAGTTAAATGTTAGTTCTACAAACCTCAGAGGTTAGAGAATTTTACACTTGTGTTCCTTTCAAATGTTAACAAAAGTTCAACTTTGGTGAGAACTTGAGTRAAGGTAATGAAAGATGAAGTTAAAAGTCAAAACATGTTTATTTCTTAAGTGTTATTGGAGAAGGACTGGGAAATAAARTGCTGGTCCTCAGTTCAAATGGCAGTMTTCAAGGATACAAATCATAATAAATGCTGGCAAYGATGTAGGGGAAATGGTGCACTGAAACATTGTTGGTGGGACTGCAAATTAGTACAACCACTTGGGAAAGCAGTATGGAGGATTCCTTAAAAGCCTAGGACTAGAACAACCATATGACCCAGCTACTCCCACTCCTTGGAATTTATTCAAAAGAACTAAAATCAGCAAACTCTAGTAATCCAGGTACATCAGTGCTTGWAGCAGCCTAATTCACAATTGG